GTGACTGCAGTCAGTCCAAGTCAGACTGAGCCTTGCATCAGGAGACCTGTGCCTGGTGATCTAAAGATGTTGTGAGTGTGCAACACCCTCAAGCTCCAGGAAACCATTAAACTAGGACGTAGCATTGTCCTGGTGTTCAGTGTTGGTTTCTCGTTGAGCTGATTTAAGTTTGCTCTGCTAACGTTATTCCAGGACGGCGGTGCATGAGATGAGCCCTCTGGTTCATACTGTTCCCATATCACCACACACATCGCGATGCTATGCTGTATCAATTTTTTCCCACACCTCAATCATTTGGTTCAGAAAATGTACGTTGCCAGGCGACCTCTTCACATTTTATAATTTATCATACATGACAAAAAAAAGGAACACGTCCCTTTGAGATGCTGAACTTTGGATTTTTCCCCTACTTCTGCCACAGAAATTATTTATATATCATATTAGTACTACTTTTGATACTTACACCCTCGTTAAGGCTCTGGCTTGGTGTAGGCGAGAGGTGTGGCATGTGTTACCTCAAATACTTCCACCAGACTAAGCCCGAATGTGGCCCAAAAAAAACTGCAATGTGTGACCTGTTTTAGGTGGATTAACTAGCCAATATTTTCACTCTGGCTCTAAATACAAAAAAAGTTCTGATATACAGTGATGTGAGTCTATAAGAGGCAAATCAACTGCATTCAGTATTAAAACCAACTGTTTTAAGGATAACGTGGAACTACAAATTAATAGAATGCAGCTAAAAAGCAGAAATTTAAAAGATGTTTTTCCAAAGTCTGACACTGAAGGCTCTCGCTGACAGTCTCTGCTTGGATCTGGGAAAAAGGGAACTGCAGTGTTACTGTGGACTCAATTAGGGACGCTAGCGTCTGGCTCCGAAGTGTGTGGGTACATCCATCATTTACAAGCCATCTACAATCTTAAGGGTGAGATTTCTGTTTTCATCTGTGAATATGAAATGAGTACACAACATCACAGTGGAGACGGATTTAGAGTTCTTGTGATCAAAAAACAGCAGGAAACACAGAATTACAGCTACCAGGAAAACTGAGCGAGAAACTGAAGTGATTAAGTAAAAAAATAAGGTGAGAAAAAGGCTCCGCAGATTACACAAAGACTAGAAACCTGCAAAGACAGAAGCAGAAACGACTACTAAGACAAAACCATAATAAAAAAAGAACAAAAACAGGACACAAAATGACAACAGAAGCCAAAATAATACCACAAAAAAGTGCTAAAACGGCCACAAACTCACACTCTGGTTGAACATGTCTGTTTCGTGCCGTAGGGTCGTATACTGTCGTAAATGCTGCTGAATCCACTCGATCCGCTCCACCTCCAGTTTCTCCAGCTCCTACAGGGAAAAGGGAAGACAAATGTCCTACTTAGTACGACAGACAGCCGATAACCGCTGTACTACTGACATCACGCAGATTATCAGTCCTTCATTAAAGAGCAGAGATCTCATCACTGAATATGTTGAAATAAAAATCCAGCTTTTGCTCTTTTCTCTGACCTCATATATAAAACTGCAGAGGTTCTTTCAACACAAGCTTAACTTTTACATTTGAATATAATATTAACAGTATTTAGGAAATATTATATCTTTCAGAGGTTATAAATATGATTTAAAACCAGATAAATAATTTTTTTAGACAAATACCTGCACACTATGCTATCCTATAAAGGAAACTTTGTGATAGCACACATTAAAACTCAGTAATGTGTGGTTATAAAGGTGAAACTGATGTTTATAATATTTCTCACTGGGCTGGAGTCTTTAGTTTATTTCGTTTTGCTGTAATCAATAACAAGATAATAAAAATATCCCTGAATAGATAAAACCTCGATGACCTTACAGGATAGTGTTGTTGTTGTTTAATTAAAGTCTAATTACAGAACCTAATTGTACTTATTTGTGATTTTCCTGTACAGTATACATTACACAGTATAAAGTGTCACAGCTCAGACCTAGAAGAGAAAACATGCATCATATTTTGTTTCGTCATTTTGGCTCATGAATCACACACAGCTGTTTACCATGCTGGTTGTCACCATTTCTTCAAACCACTTGGACTGGGTTTGGTTGTAGAGGTCCACACAGCGCATCAGGTCATCACCTGGAAAAAAAACACAGAGAGCA